TTTCAAATTTTAGAGAAAAAACTCTAAATATTATAGCAATGTAAAGAATGCTTTTTTAAAAACAAAATACTAGCATCGCAAAACTGAAATAATTAGGAAATTAAACAAATTAGACTTACCGCACACTAAGATACTTTTCCAAAATTCGTACAGGGCACCTGTCTGGTACTTCCGGTGTGTTGTAAACCCTTGTTTTCTTCTGTTCTGGACACATCTTCCACATACTGAATATATCTCCTATCATAGATGACTGTGATTTCACACCAACTATTAGAGCCATGTGTTCTTGTTTAGCTCTAGGAGCCAGATTTAGACCAAGGCAACAAAGTAAAGTGTCCAGCAGTTTTTGTGGTGTGTCTGTACCAAGGATTTTACAATCCCACATCTTAATTTTTTGTTCTGCTGCAATTACAGAGGCTTGTCTTTTAGTAATGACTACCCCTTGTCTTGCCAATATTTTCATTTTAGCGTCAAGTACTTTCCTTAGAGGCTGTGTATTTTCGTTGTCAAAAACGTGTATGCTTCTTTTCTTTTCCCTGATGTAGTGTTGTATACTCGAAACTATCTCATATAATGTGTTCCCACGGTATTCCTCCCCATCTTTCTTGTGAATTTCCGAAATAAATCTCCGTAAATTAATATCCAGGTCTGTTTCTGACATACATAACAGTTCCCCATCTACCCTCGCAACATCTTTAATGGTTTTGCCTTTTTAGCTAATGCGTTAGCCGCAAGCTATTGGTATTACTTCAGTTAATGAACTCAAGATATTTATAAATGCCGTTTTGAAATTGAATCATATACCGGACCTACTGTCTTTATTATGAGTTACTTTGGACTCATATGCACTTGAATGGCTTGTAAATATCATTACTTTCCTTGGTAGAACCTATGATCTTATCACAACGTCGCATTCTTCTTGAAAACGAACCATGTTTACTGTAGGTCATGCATGCTACACGCAACTTTCGGTAAAATACTTCAGTTAATGAGCTCAGATATTCATAAACGGGACATACGTCACCTACCAGTAATACTAAGCAAACTGCAAATAAAATCCATTACCACGGACTCAAGTTCACTCAAAAGTCATTGGATATAATCTTATTCTAAGTTAGAACTAAGTATCCTTCTACAACTTCGCATTTACTCTTGGAACTGTCGCTGGATTAAGCCATTACACGGAAATACTGTCCTCTGATTGGCTTAAATTTGTGACTCTTGCATTCACGTACCTGTCTACATTTATATATTGCGTGGTCAGAGCTATGAAGCGGTCCTGTTCCAACTAACTGAGGAAAATCAAAAATGCTAATCTGTAATAATATATATGATTCACCCCTCATAAGAGTATAATGTTATCAAAATGTTGCATATTCGTTGAAATAGCAAATCCTTACTCAAAACTCTAAAAACAGAAACGACCGCCATGTTAGATCACGCGTGATATTATCTAATTACCCGTTTCCTTATATGGCCTTCACGGCCAAATATAGTATTACTACTGATGCCGTCATGTTTACTACAATTTCCATATTTGGTCATGACACCCATATTTAGATGTCTGACCTATATCGGATTCAATGATGGACTATATATCTTTACATTACGTCAATACGAAGACTTGCACAAGTTCCTGAACACAACCAAGGGCAAATTTTTCACGAGGTCACTTTTTCATCTCACACATGTTTGTCGGTAAATTAGACCATGGCGAGTATAATATTTTTTATAGGTTTAGCCTAAAAGGTTCAAAACTGATAAACGGTATCAGATGAATATACGCTGATAATAACTCAACTATGAAATAGAAGATTAAATGTTTTTATTACATTGAAAAGATAGATATAGTAAAGGTAGACAACCTAAGATGTTTGTATCGCACCATTTCAGATCCGTTACATTTGGAACGACATCAATGACTTATCAACCTCAATAACTCCATACAAAATATTTCGATGTCATAGAAAACTTCAAAATGAATAACTTAGTGATCAATTTAAGGTAAAAAAAAAAGTTGATGCACTGTCAACATTCTTGAAGGAATTTCAAAGAACTTGCTAGATCTTAGGATTTATATATTAAACATGACACAGAACTAAGTCCATACATCGTTAAAACATAAAAAAGCCATGCTATAATCATTAAGGTCATACATGGCTAGTAAAACAACTTAATATTTTTCAGAACATTATTTAACATACTTCAGCATTAAGCAATACATATTTAAAACGTCGGGTGGCGCAGTGGATAGCGCACTTTCCTTTTACCAAGGCGGCTGGGGATCGATTCACCGATCGAAAAAAGGTAAAAATGAATGAGGTCACCTACCCGACCACATGCGTTTTCTCCAGGTACTCCGGTTTCCTCCCACATTAAGACGCCCGCACGCTAACATCCGGGCCAAGAATAGGGATTAATATAAGTTGAAATAGCTTGTTTTATAATTGTTGTAAAATCAATAAAGTTTATATATGCTATAGACATAGGAGATACATCACTAGATAATAATTCTTAACAAGTTGATTACAAGATTAAACAAAACAGTACTAAAGTGTCAGCGAAACCATAATTCGAACTCAAACTGGACACTACCACTATACCAGGTCCTAATATGACATAAGGAAAGATTTACAATACGACCCTTGAACAAAGTACAAGGAGAATAAGACCAGGTGTTCTGCAAGTGTAGGCGTCTTCTGCTATATCCACGACACCCGCCAAGGCGACGTGTACCAAAAGGGTTTGGGTTTTCTGCTTAATAAATGGCAGCCGCGAAGTAAACCTAGATCACACCTACGTAATGTCACGTCCTCACATTAAAGCTTCGGGTAGTAACAACAAAATCGCCAGGCTCACTAGTTAGCATGAAAAAACCCTCTTCCATCATTCCATACAAAAAAATAACAAATTTCTCTATAATATCATGATGACGACCACAACCTTTGTCCATAGTCTTCAGAAACCAGCGTCTTAGAAAACCTTATGTTTATCTTGTTTTCTGTCAGCAGTTTTGGAAACATTCAAACATGCTTAACCTAGTACAAGATTTTATCTATTAATCTTAAACCCAACTAAACAGGGTATAAAGACAAGTCCATACATCTTTAATACACGCTAAAGACAAAGTCCGTACATTGTTAGGAATTCATATCAAACATGATACAGGACTGAGTTCATACAACGTTATCATAAAACATTCACAGGACGAGTCCATACATCGTTAACTGTTCTTAACAAGCTTTAGTACTAAGTCCACAAACCATTGAAACACGCTAAACATCTACATGACACGTCCATACATCGTTAACTGTTCTTAACAAGCTTAGGAACAAAGTCCACAAACCATTGAAACACGCTAAACATTCTATATGACAAGTCCAAACATCGTTAACTGTTCTTAACAAGCTTAGGACCACAAACCATTGAAACACACTTAACATTTTACATGACGACTAAAAACATGAAGCATCAGAAATATTCTTTCCCCTAATTTCATTTTATTTTTAATTTTATTTTTGGTCATTTATTGTAAGTTGAATATTCATTTATGGTTGTACCAAAAACGGATCAAGGCTTGAATTTTGCAGTATCTTACGCTTCAAATGAATATTATTTTGTCAGCATATTAACATTTTATGATGACCTTTAGAATTTTTATGACAAAAAGTATTTCTATTGTGTGAATTTGTTCCTATAGTCGCACGCGCAATTTTTATAAACGTAATCAAAACATTGACATTTGAGTTTGAATTACGTTTTCTTGCGCTATTTGAACTTAAAAACTAATTATCTGTAGACAAAAAATGGTGCATGGCTATCTTTTCTAAGACTACATCATTGTTATAAATATATATAAAGTTAATAAGTTCTAAGAAGTGTTGGAGGGTATGAAATTGATAAAATAAAATAAAAAATACAAACTAAATTGCCTGTTTTTCAAATTTGTAGTTTTAAATTTAAATATTTTTAATTTTAACATCTGTTTAAAAATCTAAATATCTAATGTGATGTATTATTGAATTAAATGTGATCAGCTTCTAGCTTAGATAGAACACCACCTTAGATAGAAGGGTTAATAATAGGTAAAAACACAGGTAAATACAGATAAATACTGTCAATACTACTCAGAAACAGACTATAATCTTTCTAACAACATTCATCTCCCCATATATTTTTTGCAAAACTTGGGGAGCTGAGAACAAGCTCACATAAACATAAGTAATAAGCAAAATAGTAACAAATATAATACATATAAAGACAAAATCCTAAAGGATATCCATGAAAATGTTTTACATATTAGCGCTTTGAGTCTAATGAACAAATGCGTTTTTGTACATTTTCCTTCTCCGGCTTTTGAATATCTGGGAGCATTTTGAGAAGCTTTTGTAGAATGCATATTGCATGCTCTTTCCTTTCTTCTTTGTCATAGCAATCAGCCAAGCCATAAGCTGCTGTGAGTTCATGCTTTGAGACAAACCTGGACTTAACTTCACCCTCTAAAAGGCTGGGAGGACACACATACCTGAATGCTTTTTCCGCCGCTTTGGTATCTCCTGCAGCAAATTGAAATTGACCAACTCGTGACCATACTCCGCTATTCTTCGCATCATAGGAAACGAATTCAACGTTTTCCTTCCCTTTCCTGACAATTTCCGTTTTATCGCTCGGAGTGTTTTCACACAGCGTTAGAAGTGACAGGTAAGTCCTCAGTAGCTGTTTCAGACACCCGGCTATGTGGATGTTGTCTGAAGGTGCATGCATTTTGAAAATGCCGAAGATATAATAGCAAGACTTGTCATTCAGAAGCTGTTCAAGCATACTAGCTGTATGCTGTAAGTTGTTGACAGTGGCGAGCTCTAACTCAGGTATATCTTCAAAGACTAACTCCAATGTACCGTTTCTCTTAGCAAGCATGGAGTAAAGGGGTAAGGATTCTGGACATTTTTTTCGCATAATTATTCCTAATTCATCAGCCAGAAACAAATAGTGACAGAATTTGCGTTTCTGTTCTACTTCTGATTACTTTCCTAAGTAAAATATGCGTCGACCATATGTGTAAAATGTGGAAAGGATCATTTCTTTGATGAATTGATCCATCAGATCTGTAAGTTGGATAGCCTTCTTCTTCTTGCATAGGGCTTCATACTGTTGCATCGTCAATGCATCTTCCCTGTAGTTCTCTACGTATTTTGTCAGAAAATCGACATCTCCTTTAGTTCTTCTTTTTTGCTGAATAAAATGTCTGATAAATTTTTCAACCTTTCGTTCGTGAAGCAGTCGGATCCCGGTCAATTTCTTATCTATAACAGTTGCTTTTGCTTTCGCGAATTCGCAATGCGTTTCATATGTTGTAAGCACATGTTTGTCGGACACCTCTTCATCAATGTCTTTTTCTGTTGTCTCCATTACTTTGTAACAGAATTGAAGAGCTTTTTCGGAGTGGTATTTCTCCAATCCAAGCAAACCTTCAAAATTGCTCGTATATGCCACCAGGTCGTTAACAAATGCCATCAGCAAACACATTTCGATATCTTTTCCCGTCATATTCTCTGCGTGCCGGAGGACAGATCTGGCATGAGGAAGGACAGATGCCATGCGGTTGTAGTCGTCTTGGTGTCGATTATTTTTGTCCAAAATCAATGCACACGTCCAAAGCAACCTGTTCAGTAGTCGTCTCTTCCTTTTCTCGTCAGTGAAGGCTTGTAACGTAAGTGATACTGCTGTATGTGTGTTGAGCAGTCTTTTGTCGTCGATTCCCTGAACGGTTCCAAACGAAAACTTCTGTACAGCCTGGACTAATGAATCAGTGCTAAGAGAATAGCATGTTGCGACATCATCGTGCTGGATTTCTCCATCTATGTCCTCGTTGCATCTTTCGGAAGACGGTGACAACAGGTCAAACAATATAATTGGTATGTTTTCATTTTCTAGAAACTGGGTCATTTGAAACATTTCAGTTGCATCTTTATCCAAATCCTTCTCCATAATTCTGATAAATGTGTTCAAGTTACTGAATAAACCTCGTTTACTTGCATCAAGCTTTTTAAGTTTATCGTCGAGTTGTTCTAGTGTGTTGGCTTTTAAAAGTTCCAAAAAGGATTTTCCGCTTTTGTAACAGTTACTCATGTACGTCTTCGCGCAGCTTAATCCTAACGGGAGATAACTCATACGGCGTGCTAACTTTTTTAGTGCATCTGTTTCGGAATGTGTACAAGTGTTGTTCCCTCTTAAGAAAGTTACTGCTTCTTCCTCGGTAAATCCGCTTACAGAGATGCGCTTTGTTCTCGGCATCTTCAGCAGATCATCCATAGTGGTGACGATAACTTTTATGAATCCCTGAGTTTCTTCCAAAGGTACAAATTTCTTGATAAGGTCTTCCACAATCCTCTGACAGTCTTCATTGACATCATCAAAGATGATAAGTTGTGTTGTTGTTTTTCCCATCAGAGCATTTGCAAGTATATCTCCAAGTTTGATGACGGGATTTTCACTCTCCTTATCTTTTCCTTTGAGGACACCAAGTTTATTAGCCAGCGTTGTCATGGATGTCTGCAGAGATGCTTGGTCTTTCGAACGTATCATCCAAACAGCTGAAGTTGGATACTTTTTGTGGAACTCGTACCCGTAATGTACGGCCAGCTGAGTCTTCCCAGATCCTAATACACCTAAAATTACAAGGTTACACGAACATAAGAGTCTAGAAATGTCACTAGATATGTAAGTAGTGGCATGAAAAAATCGTTATGTAACAAAGATATGCAATGTCCTGATCAATCACGACCGTTTATTCCCATGTCTTCTCACGTTGTGCAGTTAAAACACAATATTTACAGTCTACGCTGACGTTCAATCAATAACAAATTCTCTCGTAAATTGGGGATATCATCTCATAACCTTACAATAGACCGTGACAAGTTTCCCTGACGTCAACAAGACATAAGGGCGTAGTTTACCATGGCTTATGCAAGTCAGACTGTTGTGATTATTGAGCCGAAAGTAAATCTGTGTCCGCTTGTCAGACTAATGACTAAACTTTTCTAAACACAAAAAGACAGCAAATATAAGGAAAAAATTCTATTCTGGTCAGGTCATGGGGTGATGGGGTGAGCACGATTAAATGATTAAAGATAGCTTTACTCGTGCTCTGCTTGAGTTCTCAATTTATAAACTAATCAAAATAGAAAGATATTCTTTGAATATATCACTCTATGCCAACTTTATAATTAATAAATGTGACCGGGTATAGCTTATTTGTAGAAAAATTAACAGATAAACGGCAATGTTGTACGAAACAGTGCATAAAGCGATTTCAGTCAGATTATTTCATTCAATTTTATTTAATTGTACAAACCAAACTGAATGGATGTCAAAGTAAACTTATTCAATTTGATTTATATTGAATGTAAAAATTACCCCTGCTACACCGTCCAAGCTTGCCTATTATCATTATTTGTTGTGTGGGGTGTGTTTGTGTGTGGGGTGTTTTTGTGTTTGTGTGTGGTGTGTTTGTGTGTTGTGTGTGTTTGTGTGTTTGTGTTTGTGTGTGGTGTGTGTGTGTGTGTGTGTGTTTGTGTGTGGTGTATTTGGTGTGGTGTGTTTGTGTGTGTTTGTGTGTGGTGTATTTGGTGTGTGTGTGTGTGTGTGTGGTGTGTGTGTGTGTGTGTGTTTGTTTGTGTGTGTGTGTGTGGTGTGTGGTGTATGTGGTGTGTGTGTGTGTTTGTATGTGTTTGTGTGTGTGTATGTGTGTGTGTGTGTGTGTGTGTGTGTGTGGTGTGTGTGTATGTGTGAGTGTGGTGTATGTGGTGTATGTGGTGTGTGTGTGTGTGTGTGTTTGTTTGTGTGTGGTGTTGGTGGTAGTGGGGTTAGTAAAGCTTAGTTCAACATGACAATTTTCATGTGAATAGCTAATAACAAGAATGGCATTATTGTACGTGTAGTAATTTTTCAACGAACCATGGTGTTGGTTGCTAATCTTAATTAAGCGGATACATTTGTATCCCTGAATTTAGAAAATGATAAAGATTCAAAAGATTAATTTTAAAATAAGGGCAGTTGAAAAATTGGTTATCTTACCCGAAAGCATAATCACGTTTTCTGTTTTTATTGCTGTTTCAAGTTCTTCTGATGTCTGTGTTTTCATGTACTTTCTTCCAATCACATGCTCTTCTAGATTGCAAGGAGATTCGATCGCTACAAAATATGTGAAGGTGAGAAAATGAAATGCCATTGTGAAATAACCACTAAAAGAACAAATAATAGGGCACCTATATGACTTTTTTTTAATTGTTACGTGAGGGTACTCAAAATGAAACAGTACCCGAAAATGGACCACTTTTGATATATATCAGGCAGAATTTTTATTTTTCAATAAAAATGGATGATATCTTTTCGTAAACAAACTTAATATAGATTTGAGCGATTAGAGGAGGTCTTGTCTGCCTACCTTTTGTATTTTAGCTCATGAACTTAGCAAAAATGATTAAAAATGACATGAAAATAATAATCTCTTGAAAACGTACGGTACGACAAAATCAATATCCTATCACATCTTTAAACACATATAAATGTTGTTCAGATGAACATTTTAATTAATAAATGACTAAAATATTATCAAAAAATGTCCAAAAATAATTGAAAAAAATAACATAATTTAAATGCTGCCTATTTATTTTCATAAACAGAATTATATGATGAAGTGTTCCGTTTTGAGTACCTGACAAGCTAAGATTTCCAAGTGTTATCACTTTACGTAATGAGGTCAACCGCTGGAAATACCAAGTAAATACAGAATACGAAAGCTTAATGCTTCTATTATTTCATTATATTAAAAAAAAGCATGGTGTTCCTGAAACTAAAACGTTTTTTTTTTCTTTAAAATGGGTATCATTATGGGCACCCTTTTGTTAGATTTATTGTGTGGTGTAGTCTTAAAAGTTAACAGGTATATATGAATATGTGCTTGTGAGCAACTGTATACTCATAACAGTTAAGGCGCATTACAACCAAACAGCTTTAGTGTCGGTGTCACTTCACTGAAATGAAATTCAGCATGCCACCAAAGCCAGTCACACTATTTTGACACATAGGCTAACCTGGCGTAACCAGGGAGGCGCCGCCGCAACGCAAGAGCAAGCAGTAGAGAAAAGATAAGACAGTGGCCCTTAGTATGCCCAGTAATCATGCAGCGGGAAAACACAGGTATGGTATCTCATTAAGTTATTTGACATGAGACTCGTTTTTAACTTGTTTTTTTTTGTAAGCTGTTTACCTCGCAAAACGTAAGGCGCATACTACTCTTTGCAATATTAATCCTCAGAATTAATTATCTATTCAAAGTAAAGATTTTATCGAGATACCATAATACGAAAAACAATTCCCATTCACCTCAAACATGGCCATTAACATAATCTTTGATCAGGTGAAAAGAACTCAAGAGTTGACCTCAGTAATATTTCTATACTTGTGTAATACTGGTCATCATTCGGCACCCTACAACTGCCCTTGTTTAAGAAACAGATAGTTTTCGGCTTTTACATATATCAATTAAGTTAAGCACTGACAAGAGATAAATGTTTGTCGATAGTGTTTGTATGCGCAAACATATATATGCATTGGGTTTGATATGTCCTATCCTTCAAATCAAATTTTGTATAAATCAAGAACAATTATTTAATTGTTTGATATTCCTGTTCACTAATAATTTTACAGGTACTACTTACATGAAGATAAAACCGTTAAGTTGTTCTTGTATTCTTTGACTTTTTCTACCAGGTCTTTCCTTCCAGCTGCATTAAGCATGGTCTCTAGACATGATGTGTCAGATTCCGTAAACAGATTCGCTTTCATCGCCACTTCCATCAAATCTGTCCCTTCGCTTACTCTTTCCAACTCCTGGCTGTTAACCTGATGATTTCTGATGCAAAACTTCATTTTTTTTATGTCATCTATAATGTAAAATATCAACGTTAGTACATCAAAAGTATGAAAAATGGAATTCTGACCTGTTTCAATACTAACAAACACAAAGCATATTATAAATCATTTAAGGTTCCCTATCCCATTGCAGGCAAAACACCAAATGCTGTTACGTTAACCTCCCCTTAATATCCTCGTCGAAACTGAAGTCGGGATGGGCCAAATCTGCGTATATTTTTTCGTTCAAAAAACTTTGAAACATCTTCATGTGACAATTAATGCTTGATTACCGCAAACAAAATTGGCTAAACGATCGTGTGTAAGCGGAAACCTGCCAGCATATACCCTACTTCTGCTGCTGGCAATTTATAAAAGCATTGTCAAGCTCTGTTCCTTATCCTCACATACACGATTACTCTCGGAAGAGAGTGATGCAACCATGTGGTGTGCAAGCTATGTTGACATAAGAAAACCACAAACTCTAATAAATGTGAAGTAAGGTATTGTTCTGTACATTTGCCAAGGGGCAGCCACTCAATCTCGCTACAACTGCCGCTCCTCCATTGACCAGTAATCTCTCGACTGTTCAGTAAATAGACATTTTTACATTTATAAGTTGTTTTGTACTAATACCCTTATGACAGGATATGTAAGACACAGCTCACTTGATTCAGAGCGAGAGAAACAAACGGCTCTGACGACATTTTCTTTACCACATGGTTCAAAATTTGTGTGAAAACAAACCAATCACTGTACTTTACTATTTCTTTTTATGTATGTTGCTGCTGCAGAATATTCAAATTGTGTTGCCATCCTTTGTACTTTAATGTTTGTTTCACATGGACGATACCGTTACGGAATATGTTTATGATAAAAAATATCGTGTTGTATTTTCAGTCATTTTTTCTAATGAAGAACTCAATCGATCGTTTTAAAAAAAAAGACACAAGAAGGACAAAAATTGCAGTATTAAAGCAGTTGTAAATTTTAATGCACAAACTTGTGTTATATGTTCGTTCCGAACAAGAGCAGCTATTTTCATTAGTTAATCCGTTGTCGGATTAATTTACCAGCCTTCTTATGATTCGATCTGTTAAGAATACGCAAAACCCTAAACAATCTACGTCATACAAACTAAAAGTCATATCCCCAACTTGTGATACACACAATCGATATTTCCCCGTTGGCATCATAAATGGAACGTGCCTTTTTAACAGTCACTGGAATGTATCAAACATTTTGAATTGATCCGACATAATCTTTACTTACCATCTTTAAGATTCTGACAAATCTCTTTACAGAGAAAGCCACAAAATGAATCCTCAGCCATCCTCCTATTATTTCACACTGTAAAACATAATTGTTTCGATTTAATTCAACATTGCTTAAAGTTCTATGAAAAGTAAAATACTTCTTTTTGTAAGTATACCATAGTGTTTCATTTCGATATTTTTTATTGACAAAGTAAAAACTATTATGTAACAGGCTACATCTATACCTTTATCTTGAATAGCGTGTCAAGCCATCATTTCCGTACACAACATATACCTGTACGGGTCAATGTACAACGCGATATGAGTAATGATTCGAGTCGAGACAGGTATATTGGGATTACACATCCTGACAAGTTTTTAGTATCGGTTAACCTTGTATAAGCCAGTTAAGAACATTAGCCAAGGTATTTAAAACAAGAGGCCCAATGGGCCTGAATCTGTAATCTTAAAAGTGGACTAAAATGCAGCTACAGGAAGAATATCAGTGTTTGATTCATAAGAGCCTATTAAAAGATTTAAACATATGACGCCTGTGACCTTGAATGTCGAACAAGGACATTAGGTTGATCAGAGTTTAAAGTCTTCCAACCCAGCATGCTTTTGGCAAAATATCATAACCCTGGACCTATTGGTTATACAGAACAAGTCATTTAAAGATTTAAACATATATTGACCACTGTGACCTTGAATATGGGCGAAGGTCATTCATTTTGACAAAATTGGTAGCCCTTCATCCCAGCCTGTTAATGACCAAATATCATCGGCCCCTGTGACCTTGAATATATGTAAAGGTCATTCATTTGAATAAACCTGGTTGCCCTTTATCCCAGCATGCTACTGGCCAAATATCATCATCCTAAGACTTTCGGTTATTGAGAAGAAGTTGTTTAAAGGTTTTTAACATATTTAACCCCTGTGACCTTGACAATAAGTAAAGGTCATTCATTTGAACAAACTTGGTAGCCCTTCATCCTGGCATATTACTGGCCAAATATCATTATCCTAGGCCTCTTAGTTATTCAGAAGAAGTTGTTTAAAGGTTTTTAACATATTTGACCCCTGTGACCTTGAATAAAAGTCAAGGTCATTCATTCGAACAAACTTGGTAGCCCTTTATCACAGCATGCTACTGGCCAAATAGCATCATCATCGGCCTTTTGGTAATTGAGAAGAAGTTGTTTAACATATTTGACCCCTGTGACCTTGAATATAGGTAAAGGTCATTCATTTGAACAAACTTGGTAGCCCTTCATTCTAGCATGTTACTGGCCAAATATCATTAGCCTTGGTCTCTTTGTTCAGAAGAAGTTGTATAAAGATTTTTAAGACAATTGACCCCTGTGACCTTGAAAATGGACAAAGGTCATTCATTTGAACAAACTTGGTAGCCTTTCATCACAGCATACTACTGGCCAAATAGCATCATCATAGGCCTTTTGGTTATTGAGAAGAAGTTGTTTAAAGGTTTTTTAACATATTTGACCCCTGTGACCTTGAATATAAGTAAAGGTTATTCATTTGAACAAACCTGGTAGCCCTTCATTCTAGCATGTTACTGGCCAAATATTATTAGCCTTGGCCTCTTTGTTATTCAGAAGAAGTTGTATAAAGATTTAAGACAATTGACCCCTGTGACCTTGAAAATGGACGAAGGTCATTCATTTGAACAAACTTGGTAGCCTTTCATCACAGCATACTACTGGCCAAATAGCATCATCATAGGCCTTTTGGTTATTGAGAAGTTGTTCAAAGGTTTTTAACATATTTGACCCCTGTGACCTTGAATATAAGTAAAGGTCATTCATTTGAACAAACCTGGTAGCCCTTCATTCTAGCATGTTACTGGCCAAATATCATTAGCCTTGGCCTCTTTGTTGTTCAGAAGAAGCTGTATAAATTTATAGTATGCTATTTTAACAAGAACCCAATGGGCCTGAATTGCTCACCTGGTATTAATCTCACACTTGTAATCTTTAAAGTGGACTAAAATGCAGCTACAGGAAGAATATCAGTGTTTGACTCATAAGAGCCTATTAAAAGATTTAAACATATGACGCCTGTGACCTTGAATGTAGAAAAAGGACATTAGGTTGAACAGAGTTTAAAGTCTTCCAACCAAGCATGCTTTTGGCAAAATATCATAACCCTGGATCTATTGGTTATACAGAACAAGTCATTTAAAGATTTAAACATATATTGACCACTGTGACCTTGAATATGGGCGAAGGTCATTCATTTTGACAAAATTGGTAGCCCTTCATCCCAGCCTGTTAATGACCAAATATCATCGGCCCCTGTGACCTTGAATATATGTAAAGGTCATTCATTTGAATAAACCTGGTTGCCCTTTATCCCAGCATGCTACTGGCCAAATATCATCATCCTAAGACTTTCGGTTATTGAGAAGAAGTTGTTTAAAGGTTTTTAACATATTTAACCCCTGTGACCTTGACAATAAGTAAAGGTCATTCATTTGAACAAACTTGGTAGCCCTTCATCCTGGCATATTACTGGCCAAATATCATTATCCTAGGCCTCTTAGTTATTCAGAAGAAGTTGTTTAAAGGTTTTTAACATATTTGACCCCTGTGACCTTGAAAATAAGTAAAGGTCATTCATTTGAACAAACTTGGTAGCCCTTCATCCTGGAATATTACTGGCCAAATATCATTATCCTAGGCTTCTTAGTTATTCAGAAGAAGTTGTTTAAAGATTTGTTAAGACAATTGACCCCTGTGACCTTGAAAACGGACAAAGGTCATTCATTTGAACAAACTTGGTAGCCCTTAATCACAGCATGCTACTGGTCAAATATCGTAACCCTATGCCTCTTAGTTATTCAAAAGAAGTTGTTTAAAGGTTTTTAACATATTTGACCCCTGTGACCTTGAATAAAAGTCAAGGTCATTCTTTTGAAAAAAATAGGTAGCCCTTTATACCAGCATGCTAATGGCGAAATACCTTAACCCTAGGCCTCTTAGTTATTCAAAAGAAGTTGTTTAAAGGTTTTTAACATATTTGACCCCTGTGACCTTGAATAAAAGTCAAGGTCATTCTTTTGAAAAAAATAGGTAGCCCTTTATACCAGCATGCTAATGGCGAAATACCTTAACCCTAGGCCTCTTAGTTATTCAGAAGAAGTTGTTTAAAGGTTTTTAACATATTTGACCCCTGTGACCTTGAATATAAATCAAGGTCATTCATTTGAACAAACTTGGTATACCTTCTTCCCAGCATGCTACTGGCCAAATATCATTATCCTAAGCCTCTTGGTTATTCAGAAGAAGTTGTTTAAAGGTTTTAAACATATTTGACCCATGTGACCTTGAATATAAGTCAAGGTCGTTCATTCGAACAAACTTGGTAGCCCTTCATCACAGCATGCTACTGGCCAAATAGCATCATCCTAGGCCTTTTGATTATTGAGAAGAAGTTGTTTACAGGTTTCTAACATATTTGACCCTTGTGACCTTGAATATAAGTAAAGGTCATTCATTTGAACAAACTTGGTAGCCCTTCATTCTAGCATATTACTGGCCAAATATCATTAGCCTAGGCCTCTTAGTCATTCAGAAGAAGTTGTATAAAGATTTTAAAGACAATTGACCCCTGTGACCTTGAAAATGGACGAAGGTCATTCATTTGAACAAACTTGGTAGCCCGACATCCAGCATGTTACTTGCCAAAAATCATCACTCTGGGCATTTTGGTTATTCAGAAGAAGTTGTTTAAAGTTTTTAACATATTTGACCCCTGTGACCTTGAAAATAGGTGAAGGTCATTTATTTGAACAAACTTGATAGCCCTTCATCCTAGTTTGCTTCTGGCCAAATATCATCACCCTAGGCCTTTTGGTTATTAAGAAGAAGTTGTTTAAAGTAAAATATTGACGCCGGACGACGGACGCAGGACGACGGACGGACGGACGACGGACGTTGCACCATGGCATAAGCTCACTTGGCCCTTCGGACCAGGTGAGCTAAAAAGCAGTAGAGCAATGAACTGAGGAAGGAAATAAACTATATGTGGAACAGTAGTGTTATTTGTGTAATTATCATAGATCCATGGGTGATACTGTATCAAAGTGAAATAAAAGTAATTGTTGAGTTGATATGACATGAGACCTGTACAAGGTTCAAACATATTGAACCTATATTACATGTGCATTAGTCTAGGCACAATACACAATTATCAATCTATATAATCTTATCGCAGTGTTTGTATATCGCTTGCATACATTTAGTATATTCTTGTATGAATCGCATTGTGTTCAAAATGTTTGCATGTTGTATTCAATTGGTTAATTTTATATATTATTAATTATAACACAGCGTCTCCAAGTAAACTATTGTTTTACCAATGTCATATAAGGTGTTCATGGTTCTTAAGTGTGTTTTAAAGGGAGATAAACACGTAGCGATAAGAAAAAATGGACGAAGATCTGTGTGTTGTGTCTAGACTAATGCACATGTAATATCGGTTCAATTTATTTAAACCTTGTTCAGGTTTCATGTCATAACAACTAAAAAATGTAACAGTATCAACCATGGATATATATAGGATCTTACATGAGTTTCCATTTCATATGAGATTTATGAAACGAGTCTAAGAATTTTTCAATTTAGCGAGACTGGCGAGTTAAAATGAAAAATTCGTGACAAATTTCATAAATTTTCATGAAATGAAAACGAATGTAAGATCCTTTTGAGAAAAAAATCAAGATTTGTGGCATATAGTCGTGTAAAACGACAATTTGCATGCAACTTTGAAATGAAAAAAGCCGTCATTTTGACTCCAATGGGTCCGTGCAAACAAATATGACATATAGGTATATTCAGTGGATAACACAGTACAGTAAGCCATATACATATGTACATGGACGTCTCTACTTAATTTTCCCCAAATTTACTTTACATGAACGTAAAACTTCAAAAGTTCGTCTCCAGGAATTTTGGCCTGTATGATATGGTATGAAGAGGGAAAGGGAATAAAACGTGTGTAATGTGAAAACACAAATTAACAAATTTAAGAAAACATAAATAAACAGAAGTTAACAGTAAAGTTCACTGTTGTGTTGTTCCTCTATGTAAACGTTCATAGTCATATATGCATGGTAAGACACTTTATGATATAGACTTTACACATATAGGTTACCAGTAACTAAATTCTATTGTTCTATACCCGACACCAAATCTCACCTACATGTAGCATACACCCAACGCCTTATTACCTGTAGATCCAAGTATAACTAGTCAACGACACGGTGTGTTACATTTAAAAAAAAAACTTACAGTAAAATACAATTCGAAATATATTTAACTATATAAAGTCCTTATGTAGTACCTTTTCATCTTCAACCTATGATCAACCTCCTTCAACTTCGTGAATATACTTCCAGATGGTCTGGATAAGGCACAATATATAGATACAACATGGAAGAGACCATTCGGAACACCTCGCCTTTGCTATCAGTTTCGTAGAAAATGACGAAAGGGTATACCGAATGGGAAGAGACATTTCCTGGTTATACCCTTCGGAAATGGGTAGTTTCGGTTTTACTTGAACTCCATATAGGCTACATGATAAAACATCTGACAAACTGGCTGTGAAATGCGCCAACAGATTATTAACTTCGAACCTGTACAATTAAATAAACAAAATGGACCATTTGTCTGAGATAATTTATACTTTAGGAATGTTATTGGTGTCGAGAACCAAGTTACATTTTGACATTACTAGCTAGATGAACATATCTTTGTCGCATGAATAATATTACGAGAGGGATTTGCTTTAAATACTTACAATTATTATTTCATCTGAGTCAGTTAGAAATGGTGTATTAATCTATATTGACGTCTTCGATCAAAGTCTTATATTCGGTATTCCCTTTAAAATCTGACGCTTCGGTTTTGACATATATCCGGTCACGTGATATAATACCAAATATAGCCAGGCACGTACGTATATATAGACTAGATCTATACATGAAGTAAAACGTCAGACGAACGCTTCAATGTGCAGTATTGTTTACAAGTATGAAAAAAATACCAATATTATTCAAGGCCGTGGTTTAGGCAAACAAAAATTATGCAAGCGAATGCATTAGCGCTATTATTCAAATCAACTGGATTTTAAATTTGTAATGCACAGATTGTGACTATGTCTGTGTGTGTTACATATCTTTGTAGAATTATTAAGATTGTTTGTAGTGTATCGAGATCAAAGGTTATCTCGTTGTCCCAATGTAGGCATTATCTCATACATTAATAAGATGTAACCCATGAGTTAGCGTACGAAAGGATTCAAGTTTGGACTTGAGTTAGTTATTTACAGTGCAGTGCTGGTATAGCTGTATGACCTACAATGTATACACGATCGTCTGTCTGAGACTGTACGTATAAGGTGCTCTATAAGGTGTCTGGTGCTCTATACGTAGTCAAATACGAATATTTTTGTTTTATTTATTGAGGCAAAACTCACTATGTACAATATCAGATCACTCACCTGCATTAGATCATATAAATCACTTACACACCAAGGCTAAGTTGTATAAGATCAACAAGTCGTTTTTTGCAGCGAACATTAATAAAAACCTGTTCAAGGGTCAATAAGAGGAAGTCTGTGATTAATATAACAAACTCTGTATTGTTAAATATGATTTAAATTCGGCTATATTCAGTGCATCACTTCTCCTTCAATATGATTTCTGTTGTCACTATATATGGCCAAAGATGTTTACAATAATCCTCGATATAATTTCCCTCGTTATATTTACCATCTAGCATACCGCCAACATTGCCATTTTTTTTCTTTTCTTTCTTTTTCTACTCTTAATTCAAAAATTATCGCTAAACATATGGTGGCAGTATGTACACGGTTTCCTGTAACTTTTCAACTGGTCGTTAGGTCAACGTAAAAACACACAACCCTAGGCCTGTAACTATCTTAGCTGCGTCCAAAAGGGTATTTTTCTTGTAGAGCGGAGTTTAAAAATCGCAGAAAAGGCATGCGGATGGGGTCTTATCAAGAGTTTTTTTTTATTCTTCTATGTTCAAATAAGAACACGTTATACCAGGGACGTATATACTATATACTGTCCCTGGTTATACCGGCTTCTTTTCTATACACAGCTTTTTCAGTAAAACTGATTTCCATATGTTATTGTTACATTTATCAATGTGTACATTTATTATCAATGTGTACATCTATCAATGCGTACATCTATCAATGTGTACATTTATCAATGTGTACATCTACCAATGTGTACATCTATCAATGCGTACATCTATCATTGTGTACATCTATCAATGTGTACATTTATCAATGTGTACATTTATCAATGTGTACATTGATCAATGTGTACATCTATCAATGTGTACATTGATCAATATGTACATCTATCAATGTGTACATGTATTATCAATGTGTACATTTGTCAATGTGTACATTTATCAATGTGTATCAATGTGTATCACGTATCAATGTGTATCACGTATCAATGTTTATCACTTATCAATGTGTACATTTATCAATCTGTACATGTATTATCAATGTGTCCATCTATCAATGTGTACATGTCTTATCAATGTGTACATTTGTCATTGTGTACATTTATCAATGTGTATCAATGTGTATCCCGTATCAATGTGTACATCTACCAATGTGTACATCTATCAATGCGTACATTTATCAATGTGTACATCAATCTATGTGTACATTTATCAACGTGTATCACGTATCAATGTGTATCACGTATCACTGTGTACATTTATCAATGTGTATCACGAATCAATGTGTGCATTTATCAATGTGTACATCTATCTATGTGTGCATTTATCAATGTGTACATCTATTAATGTGTACATCTATCAATGTGTACATTGATCAATATGTACATCTATCAATGTGTACTTTTATCAATGTGTACATGTATCAATATGTACATGTATTATCAATGTGTCCATCTATCAATGTGTACATGTCTTATCAATGTGTACATTTGTCAATGTGTACATTTATCAATGTGTACATGTAATATCAATGTGTACATTTATCAATGTGTACATCTATCAATCTGTACATGTATCAATGTGTACATTCATCAATGTGTATCACGAATCAATGTGTACATTTATCAATGTGTACATCTATCTATGTGTACATTTATCAATGTGTATCACGTATCAATGTGTATCACGTATCGATGTGTACATTTTTCAATGTGTACATGCAATATCAATGTGTACATTTATCAATGTGTACAACTTTCAATGTGTACATCTACCAATGTGTACATTTATGAATGTGTACATCTATTAATGTGTACATCTATCAATGTGGACATCTATCAATGTGTATCACGTATCAATGTGGACATGTATCAATGTGTATCACGTATCAATGTGTTTCACGTATCAATGTGTACATTTATCAATGTCTATCAATGTGTACATTTATCAATGTGTACATGTAATATCAATGTGTACATTTATCAATGTGTACATCTTTCAATGTGTACATCTACCAATGTGTACATTTATCAATGTGTACATCTATTAATGTGTACATCTATCAATGTGTACATCTATCAATGTGTATCACGTATCAATGTGTACATGTATCAATGTGTATCACGTATCAATGTGTACATGTATCAATGTGTATCACGTATCAATGTGTACATTTATCAATGTGTACATTTATCAATGTGTACATCTACCAATGTGTACATTTATCAATGTGTACATGTATCAATGTGTATCACGTATCAATGTGTACATGTATCAATGTGTATCACGTATCAATGTGTACATGTATCAATGTGTACCGGAAACATGAAAGGGCCCCAAGATTAATGCTGATTTGTTGTGCTGGATGGTGGATGTTTTTGGTGTTTGTAGTAAAACTGTTTAATATTTGCAAGGTACTCCATGAAACTATTTTTTTCTAGAACGCCAATCTTGCTATAGTTGTGGGTGTAGAAGCACCTGTCTGATTATTGCTGATGATCTAATAGAAATGCTAACTTGGATTGGAAGCACTCAAGATTAGCGTTCTAGAAAAAAATCCCAAAAATGATATATTACCTTGGTCGGGCAATCTTCTACCCGTTTACAATGAATAATGATGACAATGAAAGATTAGTATCGGCTTTTTTGAGTCTGATGACCAATGCTATCATGTCAAACTGCCTTCTTCATGTTTCGTCATTTTAAAATATCATTTATATCTAAAGGGTACACCAATACCATAGGACATTGCGTTCTCAGATCGAATCGTAGATTCAACTGCATTTTTATTAACCCATCTGTTTTGTGCAAGGTGAGTGTAACCTTACCATTCTATGCGCTGTTACCAGTGCAGCGGTGTGTTATACTTAGCAGGGTTACGGGTCACGTTATCTATAGAGTGCAATAGGTATGTGGGATAGTCAGGGGCGTTAGGGCCTAAGCATCGTTATATATAATATATAGTGGTTAGCTGAGTATCTATAGGGGCCAGGTACGCTCAGTCTTCTGGTATTATCGTTATGTAGGTGCAGGGGACGTTTACTGTCCTTGTGAATGAGTTACTTACTATTAGTTACCATTGTTTGACGCTAATGCTGCGATCTTCCATTGTTTTACTTGTTATAAATATTCATTCTGTCTTGTTAATGAACAGTCACTTGTGTTTTAAGACACTTTGTTGAACTGATTGCTTGTATTAGACTAAATGTAAGTTACCCCCGGGTTTTTTGTCGGGTCCACTGCCGGGGGGGGGGGGGGCCCCCCGGGGCCCCCCCCGGGGGGGGGGGGGTCCCCCTGGGCTCCCCCCTGGATCCGCCCCTTAATAATAGTATTTGTATTTGTACCATGCACTGCATCCATACAGTGTTCGAACCTGTTGGTAAAACAGGTCTGTAACCTGAAGAAGGGATGAGGTATACAGGAGTGGAGTGGGGGGNTTAATTTAGAATTGTCATGTCGGTTGTACATGTATACTACTTTCTGGTACCCATTTTTTTTTATCTGAAGATGTAATACTAAACTATTTCAAGCACTGCCGAGCGTAGAAAGCAAGAATGTATCGTACATGGTACATCTTTTCCATTGTCAAACAGATCGAGTGAGAAGTGAGTTTTCTGAGTTTGCGGCATTATTCCAGGTTATATTTTATAACGTAGAGTATTTATATTTTATGATGACCGAGCGGAGCGAGTGTTAACAAATTATTTTTAAAAAAAAAATGGTAAAAATGTAGGTTTTTAGTTAAAATGTTGATGCTTGTGTCATGCCCTTCATGTGCATGTAGACTCTAGAGAGGGCTACATTGAAACTTGTCAACCTATAATAATTAACAATAAACCTATACGATCACAAAACGGATAAACAGAGTGACAACTGCCGGACTTCCCCCTATTACACAAGTTTTTAGGGTAACTTTCTAAAACAATCCACTGATGAGTG